CTAAATTTGCAGTTTCTGAAAAATATAGACTAAATCCCTGACTTTAAGTTCAAGACCATAGGCAAAGGGAAGTACAGTAAGTTTATTTAAGTGACTAAAGAGGAATAAATACTATATAAAGAAAAATGTTCTTCGAGCCACATGTAGCCTGAGTCGTCATAGGAATGTACTAAAGGCAAAAAAACTACTTGAAGACTCATAAATATTCCAGCATTACTTGAAGAAGGACTAGTATAGTTTATGGGAAAGGAATACAATGATCAGACATAGTCTGTAAGAACTGATTTACATGTGAAAATTGAGAAAAGCAATCAAAACAAAGAGTACTAGACTAGAGATCCCAAGTCATCAATTAATATCATAATTGAAGGAAACAAGGAAAGATGTCTTACTGGCTGAGGAGATGGTTGGAAAAAGACAGAACACTGAGTTTTTAATATTAAAACTAATTTCAAGCATACAGGTTTGATAAATGCTATAGTTTTGCCATATTTGTTTATATTCTTTTCTTTCAAAGAAATAAAATAATACAGATGCCTTTGAACTTCCTTCGTTCCATTAATTTCTCCCCATGATCAAAGGTAGGCATTAAATTAGATTCCTGTGTAGAGTCTATGTTTTTATACCTTTATTAAATCTGTGTGATTCTATAAAATATTTATAATGGTGTTTAAAATGTATCTAAATGTTTCATTTTGCAGCTTGCTTTTTTAAACTCAGCATTTGGGGTTATCCACGTAAATATTTGCAATACAGGCATGTGTCGGCGGTATCGCAGGTTCAGTTCCAGACCACCACAATAAAATGTGAGTCATATGCATTTTTTGGTTTCCCAGTGCATATAAAAATTATATTTACACTATGCTGTAGTCTATTAAGTATTCAATAGAATTATGTCTAAAAGCACAATATACATCCCTTAATCAAAAAAATAATTTATTGCTGAAAAATGCTAACCATCATCTGAGCCTTCAGCAAGTTGTGATCTTTTTGCTGGTGGTGGATCTTGCTTCAGCAGATAGCTGCTGACTGATCAGGGTGGTGGCTGCTGAAGGCTAGGGTGCCTGTGGAAATTTCTTAAAATAAGACAACAATGAAGTGCCACATCGATTGACTCTTTCATGAATGATTTCTCTGCGGCATGCAATGCTGTTTGATACCATTTTACCCAGAGTAGAACTTCTTTCACAACAGGAGTCAGTTCTCTCAAATGTAACCACTGCTTTATCAACTAAGTTTATGTGATATTCTAAGTCCCTTGTTGTCATTTTCACAGCATTGGTTTCAGCCTAAAGTCACCAGCTGCGTTTGCCGCTAGCAAAAGAGTCAGCCTCTCATTTGAAGCTTTGAAGCCAGGTATCGACTTCTCCTCTCTAGCCGTGAAAGTTCAAATGGCATCTTCTTTCAACAGAAGGTGTTTGGTCTGCATTGAAAAATCTGTTGTTTACTGTAGTCACCT